AGACGTACCCTGTGTCTGTAACTAGAACCAGGAAGAGACTAATAAAAGAGCAAGCAGTGTCTGATGGGACGGGGAAATATTGTGTGTCCACTGTGTTCACACACTACTGCAGCTATCTGTCTACCGTACCAGATCTTCTGGTTTTTCCACTTGCCCCGTACAGCATGTCAACGAAGCAGAAACAGCAGGGGGTTTATGTTTGCTCTCTATCATCATGTCATGTTTTCCACAGACAGACAGGTATGTTCATTGCGGTGATTATGTGACACGTGGCAGCCAGACTGCATCTTGCTGAGCCTGTGCAGTGACAATAACCCACGGTCGTTGTTTGTGAGTTGTTTGCGGAATTCTGCATGTTGTGGGGATTGACTGACTGTGGCCTTTCACGTATTGGGTAACATCCTATTTTCATGCTCTATAACATAATTTAAAAAACAAGAAGTGGGACTATTTAATGTTGTTTCAGCATTAAGCTTTTACTTACTCTATCCACTGAGTTTAAAACATTAGGAACACCTGCTCTTTCCATGACATAGACTGATCAGTTGAAAGCTATGATCCCTTATTGATGTCACCTGTTAAATCCACTTCAATCAGTGTCGATTGAAGGGGATGAGACAGGTTAAAGAAGGATTTTTAAAGCCTTGAGACAATTGAGACATAGATGATGTACCATTCAGAGGGTGAATGGGCAAGACAAAATATTTAAGTGCCTTTGAACAGGGTATGGTAGTAGTTGCCAGGCGCACCGGTTTGAGTGTGTCAAGAACTGCAATGTTGCTGGGTTTTTCACGATCAACAGTTTCCCGTGTGTATCAAGAATGGTCCACCACCCAAAGGACATCCAGCCAACTTGACACAACTATGGGAAGTATTGGAGTCAACATGGGCCAGCATCCCTGTGGAATTTTTTTGACACCTGCCCCTTACTAATTAAGGCTGTTCTGAGGAGGAGGAGGGAGGAGGGGGGAGGGGGGGGGGGGGGGGGGTGCAACTCAATATTAGGAAGGTGTTCCTAATGTTTTGTCCACTGTGTATACCATCATCAAATATTATGGAATCCTATATAATGCGTCCTATATCACTTCCTCTAAGAAAGAGGTCTACTACTGTGAAGAGACAGAATCATTAGATCATTTGTTTTGGTTCTGTCCATTTGTAGCTTGTTTTTGGACACAGGTCCAGGAATGGCTAAAGGATTGCAATATTTACCTGGAGCTAACCTTGCAGATAGCATTATTGGGTGATCTGAAAAGTCATAGTCAATCGATCAATAATATAATAATACTTTTAGCAAAAATGTTTATTTTTAATTCACAATCTGTAGAAGCAATGAGAATAGAAAGGTTCAGAACTTTTGTAAAACATCACAGTACGGTTGAAATATATATGGCAAATAGAAATCCTATATGGATGGTGTTAAGAGATAGATGGGAGGTATTGAATGGAGCTGAAGGATGGGACTAATAACAAAAAATAATAACAAAGATATCTAATAATGTAAGCATACTGTGTCCATAATAAGTATATAGGTTGTATGTTGGGAGCTTTTGGGAAAGAGCACAGTTAGAAAGATATGGCATTTAGAAGCAAACCGGATGGACATCATGAAAATGATGGGGGAGGTTGAGAGTAGAAGAAGTTCAGGAGCAACAAAAAAAAAAGTATATATATATATACAGTGGGGAAAAAAAGTATTTAGTCAGCCACCAATTGTGCAAGTTCTCTCACTTAAAAAGATGAGAGGCCTGTAATGTTCATCATAGGTACACGTCAACTATGACAGACAAAATGAGAAAAAACATTCCAGAAAATCACATTGTAGGATTGTTAATGAATTTATTTGCAAATTATGGTGGAAAATAAGTATTTGGTCAATAACAAAAGTTTCTCAATACTTTGTTATATACCCTTTGTTGGCAATGACACAGGTCAAACGTTTTCTGTAAGTCTTCACAAGGTTTTCACACACTGCTGCTGGTATTTTGGCCCATTCCTCCATGCAGATCTCCTCTAGAGCAGTGATGTTTTGGGGCTGTCGCTGGGCAACACAGACTTTCAACTCCCTCCAAAGATTTTCTATGGGGTTGAGATCTGGAGACTGGCTAGGCCACTCCAGGACCTTGAAATGCTTCTTACGAAGCCACTCCTTCGTTGCCCGGGCAGTGTGTTTGGGATCATTGTCATGCTGAAAGACCCAGCCACGTTTCATCTTCAATGCCCTTACTGATGGAAGGAGGTTTTCACTCAAAATCTCACGATACATGGCCCCATTCATTTTTTCCTTTACACGGATCAGTCGTCCTGGTCCCTTTGCAGAAAAACAGCCCCAAAGCATGATGTTTCCACCCCCATGCTTCACAGTAGGTATGGTGTTCTTTGGATGCAACTCAGCATTCTTTGTCCTCCAAACACGACGAGTTGAGTTTTTACCAAAAAGTTCTATTTTGGTTTCATCTGACCATATGACATTCTCCCAATCCTCTTCTGGATCATCCAAATGCACTCTAGCAAACTTCAGACGGGCCTGGACATGTACTGGCTTAAGCAGGGGGACACGTCTGGCACTGCAGGATTTGAGTCCCTGGCGGCGTAGTGTGTTACTGATGGTAGGCTTTGTTACTTTGGTCCCAGCTCTCTGCAGGTCATTCACTAGGTCCCCCCGTGTGGTTCTGGGATTTTTGCTCACCGTTCTTGTGATCATTTTGACCCCACGGGGTGAGATCTTGCGTGGAGCCCCAGATCAAGAGAGATTATCAGTGGTCTTGTATGTCTTCCATTTCCTAATAATTGCTCCCACAGTTGATTTCTTCAAACCAAGCTGCTTACCTATTGCAGATTCAGTCTTCCCAGCCTGGTGCAGGTCTACAATTTTGTTTCTGGTGTCCTTTGACAGCTCTTTGGTCTTGGCCATAGTGGAGTTTGGAGTGTTACTGTTTGAGGTTGTGGTGTCTTTTATACTGATAACAAGTTCAAACAGGTGCCATTAATACAGGTAACGAGTGGAGGACAGAGGAGCCTCTTAAAGAAGAAGTTACAGGTCTGTGAGAGCCAGAAATCTTGCTTGTTTGTAGGTGACCAAATACTTATTTTCCACCATAATTTGCAAATAAATTCATTAAAAATCCTACAATGTGATTTTCTGGATTTTTTTCCTCAATTTGTCTGTCATAGTTGACGTGTACCTATGATGAAAATTACAGGCCTCTCTCATCTTTTTAAGTGGGAGAACTTGCACAATTGGTGGCTGACTAAATACTTTCCCCCCCCCCCCCCCCCCCCCCCCCCCCCACTGTATATATATAATAGAATTATTGTAAAATGAACTGTGTCCATAAGGTGTAGATAGTAAGTATAGACCGGAAGTAGAGGCCTGGGCATTGTTGTTCACTAATTTACTCCAAGTAGGGAAAGGATGGCGGGGTTGAAAAGTAATAAAGGGGAGTATATATATAAAAAACATGGGGGATTGGAAGTGATGCAGACAATTACATTGATAGAAGATACAATCTATCTGCAATATTAAGCTGATCCATCCCCCCCAAAATAATTAAAATAAAATAAAAGAAATAAATAAAAGAAAGAGGTCTACTATAAAAATGTGTAGGTGAACACTTCATATTTTCTATTTGAAAACACATCAAACAGATATACATTTCCCAGGTCATTTTAACTGTATAGATAAAGACATTATAGGAAGCTCCAGACTTTACCAGGCACCAATAACCCCCCTGCCATGTTGATGTTAGTGGTAATGGTGGTAAGGAGGTATGGAGTATAGTTGCAGCCCTAGCAGTAGGTTGTTTTGCATGGCTGCTTGCCAGCTCTCACACATAACTGTGTGTACATTTCTGAGGCAGATTGCTACAACGAGGTTGCAGAAGTAAGCATAGAGAGTTTTACATTTAGTTACAGAAACAGTTTTATACCGGTATTCAAATCATTATCTACGAGCTAACTAGGTGAGGAAGTTACATTTCAGACCTGTTTGTCATGTGGTTTAACCATACCATGCTTCCACTTCCTGAGAGAGCGAGAGAGAGACAGAAAGAGAGAGATCTATTGCACATGAACACTTTTGAACTTCCACCCACCATGTAGACATGCCAATATACTGACACACTTCCACAAATTCGAAATACACACACAGCAAGGACATGCGTAACAAAAGAAAAGGCAGAAATTCAGTTGCTCAGCAACGCCTCCACTCATCCATAGAGTAACTGGTCACGTGGATAACCTTATCTGTATCCAGACACAATTCGTATTTGCTCTTGAACTATTTTTTTTTTCTCAGTTGGTTTCCAGTTGGTAGGCCTACAGGGCAGGCTACAGGATAGAGCATGAAACATGTCCTGACAATTTGTAGACCAACTTTATGAGTGCAGTAGTATTATTGCTTGAAGTGATGCAATGGAATAATATTGGTATTTTCTCAAAACTATAGAATGACAGTAGGAGTTAACATGTTTATATAACAGTATGGTCGTTACCCTTTAACTAACTGAGCTACCCCCTTTAGGTTATTCAATATCTAACTTTCTTCAGTCCAAGACGAGGCAGGGCTATCATTAGTATGACTGGCTGGAGCTTCATATTACACCTGTTTAGCATGGGGAAATACATTACATCCTCCATGTTAGACACGCACTGTTATACTGTGCTAAACAGGGAGAGAGGCGAGGGGCTGGTTAAATGCAGTGACAAATATAGCATTTGTTGTTTATTGGTCACATATTGGTTTAAAATGACAGTTTATAAATGGTCTATTCACTGCTTCCAAACATAGTTAAATATGCATAATGCTGGTAAATACATAGCCGTAATGTAGCCTACATTACGTTTTGATCTAGCCTACACATAATATTAGGCTCCATTTCACTATTGCAAAGATCAGTGCGCTACTACATAGGACATAACATAGGTTACGTGTATTGTTGTAACTTGAAGGTTTTTTCTCCTTACATACGGGCTCGTTATTGGTGGAGCAGTGTCTGTCCCCATTGGCTGTCACACTAATCAGCAGCGGGACATGAGGACAGCGTGTTGATAGCTCAGACATTAAAAGCAGGTTGATAGCTATTCTTATAAACCTTTATTTGCATCATCGTCTAATCTTAATTGCTGTTTTAATTAATCCGCTTTATAGACCGGGCTTTGTGTGTAGTTTTTGCGACGGGAACCATGTTTTTGTGTCGTGGAGCGAGGCTGTCGGCGACGGCTTTGGAGCTGAGTTTAAACTCCACGACACGGGCAGCGTTGCAAGCAGCGGCGCAACTTAAAACAAACAGACCAGCTGACATTACCTGGCCATTGCGTAACAACAGCAATACATTCAATTGCTCCCGAGGGTTTTGTGGATATATCGGTGATGGTGGTTGGGATGATTCTGCACTTTCGCCTGATGTAAAGAGGGAGAAGGACATGTTTTCCGTTAAAAACTGGGACTCTGTTCGTTTCATAATCACGCATCGGGAACAATTACCTCGAGGAACCCTGTTCGCTTTGAATTTCTCCAACAAAACGATTTTCAGCCCTACATATTGTAACACTAGCTTACTGCTTTATCGGAGGAATGGAGGCCAAAACAGACAGAAACTACATGTAGATGGACTTGAAGCTGTTTTGTTTACGTCTGGCGCGAAGGTCTGCAAGCATCGCTTCTATCCCACATCGACTGTGCAAATGAGGGATCTATCCTCTGTTGCTGCCGCACCAAAACGCCTGGAAGACTCGGCCGCAGATCTCAAAGAGGTAAATTAAACTTTGAATGGTATTTGTTTAACCTCCGTGACACCGAATTGAACCATGTTTGACCAGCAATCAAGCCCCACTTAGTTATACCAAACAATTCGACCATGAACCCGCGCAGGGTTTCGTGTCGAGTCAACTGTTGCTGGTTCTCTGCCTGTTGTTTTTATAAATGACACAGCAATTACATTTCCAAAACGATTGAAATACTAGTTTGCTACAAGTAAATGGCGTACTCCACATTTATAAAGGCAGTCAGGTACATTGCAGCTACGTTATGCAAGTAACATGACGCGCAGACACTGAGCTCTGCTCTGTTCACGTGATGTCGGCCTAACATCTTAATCAGAATGGACAGAATAGGGCTAATGCTGTCCGAATGGGGTTGTAACTGATAGCTTGCTATAGGTAGCTTTGTGTACAAAAGGCTATAATCAATTATTGGATACATCTATCAGGAAGCTTAAAACTACTCTGGATGTTGTATAACTTATGAATCTTCATTTCACAGTACTGCAATGTCCTACTTCTATTCAGTTGTCCAATGTTCGCCATATATAGGTTGTGTTCGTAAATTCAATCTGGAGTGCCAGAGTGTGCTCTGGACGTTCGTAAATTCAGAGTGCTGTCGGATTGTCCATTCGTAAATTCTGAGCATTTCGCTCTCGGAGCGTTCAGAACGCACACTGGACGCTCAGGCCGAGGAGTTGCGTTGTGACCTCAACCGCAGTCAAGCACTCAAGCTAACTGGCTAAAGTTAGCTAGCTTGCTAGCTATTTCTAGACACAAATGAGTGAACACCTCACTCTGACCATTTTACTCGCCCTAGCAGAGCTGTTTAGGCTATTTTCATGTTACACAGATCGTTGGTGACTGTAACTGTGCTGCTGGCAACAATTTAATTACGCTTTTTTTTGCCGACGTTTACTGACACCCGCCATATTCAACGGGTGTTGAGCGTTCGTAAATTCATCAGTTATTCTGCGCTCTCTGGGACACTCTGACGAGAGTGCTCTGAAATCGGAGTAGATAGCCAGAGCGAATTTACGAACGCATCCATTGGCTACGGCAGTTTCTAAAACCGTTCTATCCATGACATGGCAATACATGCCTTTTCCCTCTGACTCAGTCAAGCACTACTCGTCTATTATGGCTAAATCTGTAATAAATTATGAGGATGGGACGCACTCTTGGGAAAAATCGAGTATATTCTTATTTTAATAAAAAATCATATCGGGAAACAAATGGTCAAACTATCACATTGTAAACAAGAAAATAATACATTTCCCTGTTCTGAAAACAGTAGGAACATTGTGACAAGTTCCTGACTCATCATTATAAAGGAAAAGCTGTCTTTGTGGACAGATTGAAATAAACACTCTGTTCTGTTAATGACTGCTGTGAGATCCATGGTGAAGACTTTGGCCGGAAGACCCTGCAATGTATAGGCCTAATTTGCATGATTTCTAACACATCTATAACACTGCAACATTCTGCTGTAAGTTCATGACATAAGAGGGCTTAGCTAATGCTGTTTTTTTTTTTTTTACCTCTGCCCTCTGATTCCAAGTAGCAGATGTGCTAGTGAGGGTGGCGGGCTGGGGCGGTGCTGTGTGTTTGTCTGCCGTCTGCAGCCTCTCAAAGGCTGTTATCACACACAGAGCCCCTCTGTTCTCGTCTCCTCCCTGGTACAACTCCCTATAGCCACTCACTCACATGACCTTCCTACTGCTGCTCCCTGCCTGCTCTGCTCGGTTCCTCTCTGGCTTGGCAAGCAGTCCTCTCTCGCTCTCTGGCCTTTGTCTATTGTTGGAGAAGCTTGTGGTGCATCACTGCACTAGCCTAGCCTCACCCCGTGTTTGGGTCAAAATAGAAAAACAACAGAGGAGTAGGGAAAGGGAGAGAGCCATATGGCTATATTTTAGGGCTCAGTTGAAAAATGCTTAGAGGACATTTTAGCAGGGCGATTCGGATGACGGATTGTAAAAAATATTTCTGAAATTATAGTGCGGGTGAAGCGGGCTGTGCCTAGTTATTTCCTGCTCTTGCTGTGGCAGCCGCTTCTAGATTCCTATTGGTCATTATAACATTACATCACCAATCATCTGTTGGTGTCCATTGCAGTATGCCTACTCCAGAGTCATCTATTACAATGATGTGTGTTTACTGGAGCCTAAAGAGCAGCTAGTCCATGTACTACTCCCCATACATGCTGCCCTGCGTGGTGAGACGCTTTGGCAATACGTACAGTGCGTTCGGAAAGTATTCAGACCCCTTTACTTTTTCCACATTTTGTTACGTTACAGCCTTATTCTAAAATTGATTAAATTGTTTTTTTCCCCCTCATCAATCTACACACAATACCCCATAATGACAAAGGAAAATCAGGTTTTTAGAATAAAACCTCATATCACATTTACATAAGTATTCAGACCTTTTACTCAGTACTTTTGTTGAAGCACCTTTGGCAGCGATTACAGCCACGGGTCTTCTTGGGCATGACGCTACAAGCTTGGCACACATGTATTTGGGGAGTTTCTCCCATTCTTCTTTGCAGATCCTCTCAAGCTCTGTCAGGTTGGATGGGGAGCGTCCCTGCACAGCTATTTTCAGGTCTCTCCAGAGATGTTCGATCGGGTTCAAGTCCGGACTCTGGCTGGGCCCCTCAAGTATATTCAGAGACTTGTCCTGAAGCCGCTTCTGCATTCCCTTGGCTGTGTGCTTAGGGTCGTTGTCCTGTTGGAATGTGTACATTCGCCCCAGACTGAGGTCCTGAGCGCTCTGGAGGGTCTCTGTATTTTCCTCGATCCTGACAAGTCTCCCAGTCCCTGCCGCTGAAAAACATCCCCACAGCATGATGCTGCCACCATGCTTCACCGTAGGGATGGTGCCAGGTTTCCTCCAGATGTGACGCTTGGCATTCAGGCCAAAGAGTTCGATCTTGGTTTCATCAGACCAGATAATCTTGTTTCTTATGGTCTGAGTCCTTTAGGTGCCTTTTGGCAAACTCCAAGTGGGCTGTCATGTGCCTTTAACTGAGGAGTGGCTTCCGTCTGGCCACTCTACCATAAAGGCCTGATTGGTGGAGTGCTGCAGAGATGAGAGAACCTTCCAGAAGGACAACCATCTCAACGAAGTGCCTTGGTCATGGAGGTGACCAAGAACCTGATGGTCACTCTGACAGAGCTCCAGAGTTATTCTGTGGAGATGGGAGAACCTTCCAGAAGGACAACCATCTCTCCAGCACTCCACCAATCAGGCCTTTATGGTAGAGTGGCCAGACGGAAGCCACTCCTCAGTAAAAGGCACATGACAGCCTGCTTGGAGTTTGCTAAAAGGCACTTAAAGACTCTCATACCATGAGAAACAGAAAGATTGAACTCTTTGGCCTGAATGCTAAGCGTCGCGTCTGGAGGAAACCTGGCACCATCCCTACGGTGAAGCATGGTGGTGGCAGCATCATGCTGTGGTTTTCAGCGGCAGGGACTGGGAGACAAGTCAGGATCGAGGGAAAGATGAATGGAGCAAAGTACAGGGAACTCCTTGATGAAAACCTGCTCAGAACCTCAGACTGGGGCGAAGGTTCACCTTCCAACAGGACAATGACCCTAAGCACACAGCCAAGACAACGCAGGAGCGGCTTCGGGACAAGTCTCTGAATATCCTTGAATGGCCCAGCTAGAGCCCGGAATTGAACCCGATCAAACATCTCTGGAGAGACCTGAAAAAACCTGTGCAGCGACGCTCCCCATCCAACCTGACAGAGCTTGAGAGGATCTGCAGAGAAGAATGGGAGAAACTCCCTAAATACAGGTGTGCCAAGCTTGTAGCGTCATACCCAAGAAGACTCGAGGCTGTAATCGCTAGCCAAAGGTGCTTCAACAAAATACTGAAGAAAGTGTCTGAATACTTATGTAAATGTGATATTACAGTTTCTTATAATAAATGTGTGAAAGATTATACAAACCAGTTTTTGCTTTGTCATTATGGGGTATTGTGTGTAAATTGATGAGGAGAAAAAAAGAATTTAATCAATGTTAGAATAAGGCTGTAACGTAATAAAATGTGGAAAAAGTCAAGGGGTCTGAATACTTTCTGAATGAACTGTACATCTGATGTTACCTTTTATTTTCTGACTCATCGGCTGAGGCTCACACTTCATAGTCCGTTTTCAAAAATGTTATTGAGTCTCAACTAATACAAAGACAGTTTTCTATTTTACATACATTCTATTACTATTATTTTATTTGACTATTTTATATGTGGAGCCAGTGTTGACATTCCTTGTCCAGGGCTCACTTTAAAAATAGTCAATCTCAATGTGACGTCCCTGAGTTTAATTAAAGGATAAATAAAAAATCTCTCTCTCTCTGACCCAACCAGGACCAGACTCCAAAGGAAGCCTCAGCCAAGGGCCCTGAGGAGCCCAAGGTACCGGAGCCTGAAGAGGACAAACCTAGCAAGACCCAGCAGCTGAAGAAGGTGTTTAAGGAGTACGGAGCAGTTGGAGTCTCCTTCCACATATGCATCTCCCTCATGTCTCTGGGAATGTTCTACCTCGCTGTGTCCAGGTACTGTATGAAGCAAGGCTTCAACATTGTTTGTCACATGTAAAAACTTTCCATTTGTCTACGCAGTCGACACGGCTCTGTTGATCCAAGCTGTTTGAGGCCTTACTTTGATTTTGTGAACTTCTGTAGCACTTTAAGCACACTGCATTGTCATTGTCAAGGCCTTCTACTGATGGTGGAATGACTATAGGAGAAGGCCTTCTACTGATGGTGGAATGACTATAGGAGAAGGTCTTCTACTGATGGTGGAATGACTATAGGAGAAGGTCTTCTACTGATGGTGGAATGACTATAGGAGAAGGTCTTCTACTGATGGTGGAATGACTATAGGAGAAGGTCTTCTACTGATGGTGGAATGACTATAGGAGAAGGTCTTCTACTGATGGTGGAATGACTATAGGAGAAGGTATTCTACTGATGGTGGAATGACTATAGGAGAAGGTCTTCTACTGATGGTGGAATGACTATAGGAGAAGGTCTTCTACTGATGGTGGAATGACTATAGGAGAAGGTCTTCTACTGATGGTGGAATGACTATAGGAGAAGGCCTTCTACTGATGGTGGAATGACTATAGGAGAAGGCCTTCTACTGATGGTGGAATGACTATAGGAGAAGGCCTTCTACTGATGGTGGAATGACTATAGGAGAAGGTCTTCTACTGATGGTGGAATGACTATAGGAGAAGGCCTTCTACTGATGGTGGAATGACTATAGGAGAAGGCCTTCTACTGATGGTGGAATGACTATAGGAGAAGGCCTTCTACTGATGGTGGAATGACTATAGGAGAAGGCCTTCTACTGATGGTGGAATGACTATAGGAGAAGGTCTTCTACTGATGGTGGAATGACTATAGGAGAAGGTCTTCTACTGATGGTGGAATGACTATAGGAGAAGGTCTTCTACTGATGGTGGAATGACTATAGGAGAAGGTCTTCTACTGATGGTGGAATGACTATAGGAGAAGGTCTTCTACTGATGGTGGAATGACTATAGGAGAAGGTCTTTTACTGATGGTGGAATGACTATAGGAGAAGGTCTTCTACTGATGGTGGAATGACTATAGGAGAAGGTCTTCTACTGATGGTGGAATGACTATAGGAGAAGGCCTTCTACTGATGGTGGAATGACTATAGGAGAAGGCCTTCTACTGATGGTGGAATGACTATAGGAGAAGGCCTTCTACTGATGGTGGAATGACTATAGGAGAAGGTCTTCTACTGATGGTGGAATGACTATAGGAGAAGGCCTTCTACTGATGGTGGAATGACTATAGGAGAAGGTCTTCTACTGATGGTGGAATGACTATAGGAGAAGGCCTTCTACTGATGGTGGAATGACTATAGGAGAAGGCCTTCTACTGATGGTGGAATGACTATAGGAGAAGGCCTTCTACTGATGGTGGAATGACTATAGGAGAAGGTCTTCTACTGATGGTGGAATGACTATAGGAGAAGGCCTTCTACTGATGGTGGAATGACTATAGTAGAAGGCCTTCTACTGATGGTGGAATGACTATAGGAGAAGGCCTTCTACTGATGGTGGAATGACTATAGGAGAAGGCCTTCTACTGATGGTGGAATGACTATAGGAGAAGGCCTTCTACTGATGGTGGAATGACTATAGGAGAAGGCCTTCTACTGATGGTGGAATGACTATAGGAGAAGGCCTTCTACTGATGGTGGAATGACTATAGGAGAAGGCCTTCTACTGATGGTGGAATGACTATAGGAGAAGGCCTTCTACTGATGGTGGAATGACTATAGGAGAAGGTCTTCTACTGATGGTGGAATGACTATAGGAGAAGGCCTTCTACTGATGGTGGAATGACTATAGGAGAAGGCCTTCTACTGATGGTGGAATGACTATAGGAGAAGGCCTTCTACTGATGGTGGAATGACTATAGGAGAAGGTCTTCTACTGATGGTGGAATGTAGGAAAAATACATTGTTAGTTAGACTGTGTCTGCTGTGGGCCCATGGCCCGGTTATGTGACTGTCTGTAGCTGTGGGCCCATGGCCCGGTTATGTGAGCCCCACCTCTGACTGACTTCCTGCTGGCTCTCTACTGGCTCTGTGCCAGCCCAGTAGGCTGCATAACAGAGGGACTGAGCCCAGATTATCAAACAGCTCCCAGACTTCCTCTGATGGCAGTAATGGCCCTTGGACTCGACACCCTCCTGGCCCGCATGGCGCTCCCAGTTCACTATCAACCCAGATAATCAGTGTGGGAGAGACATGGGGCATTCTGAAACGGCACCCTATAGTGCTGTGTTAGTACATTGCAGTGCACAATGTAGGGAATAGGAAGCCATTTCAGATGTCGCCGTGTTAAATGGAAGTGTATAGTGGCATTCTAATGGGCTGAACAAATAGTTTTTCTGCATGTTTTTATTTAATGAAAGTTAATGATAAAATCATCTTTGTAAAAGTGTCTTCAGCATGGTACATGTGATTTTAATTGATGTCCAACATTTCTTCTTTACAATTTGTCATTTCTGAAATTATTGAACACTAACCATGAAACACTATCTCAGTGGTAAGATTATATGGTTCCTTCTAGTGGACAAATGTGTTATATTTCTCTCCAATAACCCCTGTGTGTGTCATTCCTCTCCACAGTGGGATTGACATGGCTGCCATCCTGTACAAGATAGGTTTCAGTGAATCTCTGCTTCAGTCCAAGTTGGCGGCGGGGACCAGTACGTTTGTCTTGGCGTACGCCGTCCACAAGCTCTTTGCTCCTCTCCGTATCAGCATCACTCTGGTGTCGGTGCCTCTCCTCGTACGGTACCTCAGAAAGACTGGCCTCTTCAAGACCCCCAACTCACCCACACCCTGATTGGCAGAGACCACCACCTCACCCACACCCTGATTGGCAGAGACCACCACCTCACCCACACCCTGATTGGCAGAGACCACCACCTCTATAACTTCCATAACTTTACAAATATTACCTGTTTTTTCAGAAATTGCTCCCAAACAGGGACTTTCTGTGATGTTTTTTGGAATTTTGAAACTCCTTGATAACCACGAGGCTAACTTTTAACCCACCTGTGAATATGCATAACCATTTGCCTTTATAAATGAAAGTTCAGTAGTTATTCCTCAAGATGTCTGTTTCAAGACTGCAGTTGCCGTTGTGTTTTCAGGTGAAGTATTGTTTTACCTTAGCTTCTGCTTAACAGAAGCCATGGTCCATGGTGATTTGTTGACCCGTAAGTTCATGAAGAAATGTGCCATGTCTTTCTTTTAATTATTGGAAGAAAATATGAAAGAAAAAAATATGAATGCACTGTTCCAGGGCAAAAGGGGGGGAGGAACTCAATATTAGGAAGGTGTCCTTTTAATGTTTTGTACACTCAGTGTATATGCATTCTAAAAAAAGACAACCAAGGGCGATCTGTCCCAGGTCTATTGATTTACAATCATATTAAACCAGTTGTTACTGGACAAATACATCAGGGATGGTGGCTAAACCCTTCCTTATTTAACAGAAGTTCAGAATGTTCGAAAGAATGTTGTTTAGGAATAGGAGTGTGCTTGTTGGTCGGTCAGTCAGCAACTCTTTGTGCTGTGAAGGTTCTCTACAGGGGGATGATGTAGCTGCTCAATCACCTCTACTGGCTGTTGGGTGAGTAGCCATGTTCTCTTCTGTTCCCAGTGCTAGGTGAATGAATCGGCAGAAATATTCAGGTGCCCTTCTGTTAAATCTCTCCCATGTCATTTTGCCTGGAACCAAAAACTGCTCTTTTTCACCATGGTTTTACTTCAGGTGGTGAAAAAGGAGCACAACAGTTTGGATTCCAGGCTACCTTTTTAATAATTAGCCAAGCAATCATCATTTTTGTCCAATGTAAGTTATTTTATAGCCTGATTCCTGCTCTGTTAGTGCTGCAACTCCTATGGTCATTGTTGTGTTTGGTATGAGAATACGATAAGAGTTGGCAAGACAGTACAAACAGATCTGGGACCAGGCTAAGTTCTCTATGATAAGCTCTGTATTTAGTAAGGACATACCGAGATGTTAGTATATCCTTCCATACTATGATTATGATACTTGTGTAAAATATATTTTTTGGATTGGAGTTTTATTTAATGATTAAAAGGGACTGTTATCCTTCCTCTGTCTGTGTACTTGTTGTTTCACCATAAAACATTTACACTGAGTGTACAAAACATTGACACCTGCAACCCTGCTGGGTTTTTCACGCTCAACAGTTTCCTGTGTGTATCAAGAATGGTCCACCACCCAAAGGACATCCAGCCAACTTGACACAACTGTGGGAAGCATTGTAGTCAACATGGGCCAGCATCCCTGTGGAACGTTTTTGACACCTTGTAGAGTCCATGCCCTGACGAATTGAGGCTGTTCTGAGGGCAAAAGGGGGGGTGCAACTCAATAATAATAATAATAATAATAGTATACCATTTAGCAGACGCTTTTATCCAAAGCGACTTAGTCATGTGTGCATACATTTTTACGTATGGGTGGTCCCGGGGATCGAACCCACTACCCTGGCGTTACAAGCGCCATGCTCTACCAATTGAGCTACAGGTGTTTTGTACAATCAGTGTATATGAGAACTATAATCTTGTCAAGTGTACACTGTATCAACATTCTATTTGGTTGCTCTTAAAGGCACCAACGCATGCACAGTCAAATACCCCCAACAGCCACACAGTGGAGCTCCTGAACTACGAATCCTTCTGTTTTCATCCTTTTATGGATGAGATGATACTATTAAAAGGGAAAGGAAGAGCTTCACTGTCTCTCCAACGGTATTGCTTAAAACCTCATTCACTTTACAAAGACTGTTCAAATAGCCCCCAGAACCGCAGTGTGTTTAAGAATTTGTAAAATTGATGCAAATTTTTGCAGGCTCAACCCTAAAACATTTTGTTTTAGCCCCTGTTCTACCAGGTCAGATCTACAATAGCTACTCTCTCTTGCTGCCCATGAAGATTTGAATAGTTCAGGGAAACGTGCAACCCTTTCCTACTCTGCATCCCTGGAGCTCCTCTGTCTGTTGTACAGGGCTGTCTCGGACCAAACTAGATCAGGGGTTTTCTTTTTCAGTCTGAATACACTATACATTATTTAGCTATCTGAGATGATAATTAAAAAGCTCTGTACAGTTACAGTCGTGAAGTGCCAATCACTATCTCAGGTAAATGTATGGGTTTTTCCAGCAGCTTGAACACACACACAAGCACACAGGCAGGGAGGTACAGACACCCACACACATACTCCAGGCTCGTTATCGGGGCTGAGGAGGACTCTTAGCTGCCATCGCCTCCCCATCCCCTGGATGTCCCCCATGGCTAGGAACTAATTAGTGACAGCTAGGCAGGAAGGAAGGCAGTGCTTCGAACCACACTGGCAGGCTGCTCCAGCTAGTGTATCTCTCTTTCCCCGTTTGCTCCATTCTCGCTCCCTCTCCTCTCTCTCACCGTCTCTCTCTTCTCCCTCTCCCTCTGAGGTGACCAGATGAGACCAGTTGTGATGATGAGCTAAGGACAGACACTTTGGGCATGTTGTTGGCACAGTATGAATGCTGCCTGCCACTCCGCATCCTCTACCTGTCTTACTGAGACCCAGGCTGCGTCCCAAATGGCATCCTGATCAAAGGTAGTGCACTATGTAGGGAATAGGGTGCCATTTGGGATGAAGTCCCCCCTCCAGTGTGACCTACACTGGTAGAGTCTAAATAGAAAGTCAACAATTCAACAAGTCTCTACTTGCAACAGGAGTAGAGCAGGGACTATAATGCACCAACTGAGAGGCCTGCGTTTAGCTACAAGGAGCTGAGTACTCTTCACCGCTGTCTCCCTCTCTCTCTCTCCCATCTCTCTCGCTCTCTCTTCCTCTCTCTTTTCTCTTTCTCTCCCTCTCCCCTCCCTCTCCCTCTTTTTCTCTCCCTCTGTCTTTCTCTCTCCCCTCCCTCCCTGTCTCTCTCTCTCTCTCTCTCTCTACCTCTCTTTGTCTCTCTTCCTCTCTTTCTCTCAATTCAATTCAATTCAAAGGGCTTTACTGGCATGGGAAACATATGTTTACATTGCCAAAGCAAGTGAAATTCTCTCTCTGAGTTAACTTTAGTAGCTGTACCTGATTGTGGAGTCAACCTGGCTGTGCTGTCAACTGTCTTCTTTCATCTTGATGAGGCTTGGTTGCCATAGAGGCCACAGAATACTGGGGTTGAGACAGTGACAGTTGGAACTCAAAGCTGCATCTTTTATTTATTTTTTAACGGGAGCGTCTGCCAATTTATTTATTTTTCATTCATAGCATTCCCACCTCACATTCCTCTGGGTTTTTACTCAACAGGTTGAGTGTGGCAATTATAGTAGAGGAAGGAAGGTAGGAGACAGTGTTCCAGGTCTGACAGTGGTAGAAATAGGTAGAGAAAGCAATGGCACAACCTGCTCAGAATGTTTGACAGTTGGTGGATTGGTGTGTATTTGGACTGTCACTGAGGTGAATCACTAGTAGTTAGCCGTAATGGCTGGCCAGCTACAGTAGGCAGGTAACAATTTGGTAGGGACTCGGTTCCATTTCCACTCCAGTCAATTCAGGAACAAAGTCCACCTAGAACAATTATGTAAATGTTTCCACTTGATTAATGAGTTGAATTAATTCCTGGAATTGACTGACTTGAAATGGCACTGACCCTAACCCTATTAGAACCCACCTTAATCCTGGACACTCAGTCAGTGCAGTGCTCAGCTGTGTTCTGCTCGGTGGAGGGCGCTGGCAGCTCAAACCTTCAGCTTGAAAACCTACTAGGCGACAACTAGGACATCCGTCCCCTTCTCCCACTCCCACTCGACTGACTTATCAGCCACATCAGAACCTTCTCAAACACACTGGAAAGCAAACAGACAGACAATTTCTTTCAATTAGCCCAAGCTGACCAGCCCAATACATTTTAGTTTGTACCTTCAGATGTGTCCGGGGCCAAATGATGACTAATGACTGTTGGGGAACTGCTGAACTGTTCTTCCACTCCCTGCTCTCCTTTCTCTTCTGTTCTTCCACCTCTCTCTCTCTCTCCATTCTTGCTCTGTCCTTATTTCACTCTCCTCTTTCTCACTCATCTCTCTCTCTTTCTCACTCCTCTCTTTCTCACTCCTCTCTCTCTCTTTCTCACTCCTCTCTCTTTCTCCTCTCTTTCTCACTCTTCTCTTTCTCACTCCTCTCTTTCTCACTCTCCTCTCTCTCTTTCTCACTCTCCTTCTCTCGCTCTATAGCCACTGCTGACCATGCAGCACACACAGCCACCACCACATTCATTCATTCACAGCAGCTTGGATTCATTTTCTCCTTGTTTAAGCATTATTTCTGTGTAGTCACTGAGGGGGCTATTCATCACTGCTCACAACAGGCATGAGCAAACGATCATTCAGCCAGCCCTGCCTGGGAAGCATCACCGTCTTGAGTTTTAATACGTCGTCAGGCAGATGCTGTAGGTGCTTCATGGGAAGAGAATGAAAACAAATGGAGGAAGGATGAAGAGAGGAGGGGAAGGTATATACTTTGTGCACCCGAAATGGCGCCCTATTCAATATAATGCACTACTGTTGCCCAAGGCCCATGAGATATAGGGTGCTCTGAAATAGGGTGCCATTTAGGATTACTGCTGGTCAACCCATCATGGCACATTGACTTGAATAGGAATTTCCGTTCTACTAATTCAATTTCTATGGATCTAAATGTATATTACTCTGTGGGTTTTGGGGCTGGACTGAATGTCGGATTTACTGCTGTCATTTCCCATTCATTAACTTCTTACTCCGCTCCATATAGTGATTCCTCTGGTGTAGATATTGACCGGTTTCAGTTTGAATGAGAAGTATATGTT